GAAACCACATGAAGTTGCATAGCCATTTAGTAGGAACGCGCTCCTTTTAAGTGTTGACTGTGGGGTTGCAAGGGTGACGCAGTTGTTCGACTCGACCCAGTTGTCAGGACCGGCGCACTGCCTCAAGGGGAGGTGACGGTGTTTGCTTGGCTTAGTACCCTGAAGGGTGACCTCCAGACGGGACGTGCTGCACTGAACGAAGCTATCGCGAGGATGGCAAGCCGTCTTGCCCTTGTGCCGGCCCGCCGAGCAGCACTCTGCTCGGTGGGCGCGGGTGGCGGGCCTGCCTAGTGGTCGCCTGTTCGGAAGCCAACATGCCCTCCCGCTTAATCGGGGCCTTTTCGTTCGTCATCGCGCCGTCGTCGTCGTGTTGCTAGCTGTTGTTGTTTGAGGTTGCGTCTTGCTGGGTGTGGCTGACACTTTAGGCCTTCGTGCTGGAGTGTCGCCAATTTGTTAGGCCAGGCAAGTGTTTTCGGCCTGACACATGCCTCGGTCGATGCTCACTCACTCACCCACCCACTCACTCACTTTACCGTTAAACCAAGTATCTCAAGCTTTAGAACCCCGATATCTCCAAAATTGAGGTTTTCAAACTCCGCAACACCCAGTCTTGATTTAGCAAAGAGGGTAGCTCGTCGGACATTGGAGCTTAACTTATTCAAGTGCCACTTCTTACGCGGTTCAGCAAGTTCGCCCGGATTTCAATGCTTCATGCCTTAAGCCTTGAATCTGAACCCAACGAGACCTCACAGTCCTCACACCCTGAACCCCTTAGCCTGAAGACCCCGAGCATCCCTAGGGTGTTCGAACGGGCAGGCTATGGAACGACTTGGATTTGCGATATCCTCAATCGAAACACCGATGGGTTTCGGGCCTTTAGGGTTCAGGGCTTCACCCGTTTACGATCCTTCAAGCAAGCGAGGGCGAGACACAGTTCAAAGTTGGTGATGTCGTCGCTGCCATGTTCGACACTGCTGGACAGGGGCGGGGGGCCTAGGCCAGATCTGTACTAGTTCAAAACTTGTTTTTGTGAGCCGAAACATCAAAGCCGATGAGGATTTAGTGGTGGATCTTTTTCATCCGGGTCATCCGGGCTGGTAAGATTGACTAAGGAGGTTGTGCATAGGCATCTAGCCGGGTTTAATGGAGCTTAAGGTGTTCTGGCTGTGAGGACTTGGAGTTTCGAGATCCGTTTATAGTATAGTTCTACATCGTCTGTAAGGGAATGCTATTTCTCATCATTCAGACTCTTACAGTAGACTGCAAGGCAGCTCCCGGAAGCCAAATCGCCATGCTGCATCCCAAGACCAAAACTCCAAACTTAAGACCATCAAGCCTCGAAGAGCCTTTCCCAAATTGCAATACCGAAACATCCCCGAGCCCAAAACACCGTGATCCCCCCAACTTTGCAACAGAGGTATGCAAATCCAACCTTTACAATACTAACGATAGTTTTTTGAACACTTGCTGCTACGTACGACGAACAACAACAGCAGCAACAACAGCAGGAGCAGCAACAACAGTAATGGTCGGGAAGTGCATACCCGTTCTTGTACCAGGAATCCGAAGTCCTAAATCCCACACCTTGAACCTAAAACCCGAGCCTAAACCCTAAACCCTATACCAATTCGTGTACCAGGAATAAGAGGGGGCACTTTCAAGCCGTTGTTGCGCCCGCCAGGACCCCGTGGCGCCCTTGCCGAGTATAAAGTCGTCAAGGCCTTTATCGGGCCGTAAACCTTGAACCGTAGGTTGCGTGTTTGTGTGTGTTGGTGTCTGCATATACATATGTATATTTTTTATATGTACGTATTGTAGTATACATACACATACACATACATATATGCATGCGTGTACTTATGTATGTCTGTATGGTCAATTACGTATGTTTCATTGTATCTTTAGCTCGTCTGTAATGCGCATATGCGCACATACCGCCACAGGGCGAGAGACAGAGAATAGTATCCATACACATATGTATATATCTCTATCTATAACTATAACTATGCGTATATAGATATATGATATATGTATAATCTGGATGTATAGATGCATTTACATTATGTATGTATGTAAGTACGTATGGATGTATGTATGTATACCCATATATATATATATATATAAATGCATATATGTGCTTACATGTTTATTATGAATGCATGTATGTATGCGCAGATGTCTACACGTGCACGTATGTATATATATATACACATATGCATATACATACATTTGTACTTCTGTGAATATGTATAGATACGTGTGTGCGTATATATATATATATATATCGTGTATATATGTATATGTGTATGTGTGTGTGTGCATGTGTACAGATGTGCGCACACACACACACACATCCATCCTCACACCTCCAATTGAACTTGATCCCAGACCCCAACCCAATCACGAATCCCTCAGTCCTCGCGGTGCCTCAATGAACAGCAATACCAAGAGAACCCTCAACCCTACTACACGAAGGGGCTAGATTGTGCACCATAGCGAAGGCAGAGCTACTTACACGATCAGGGGCCTCAGCTATAGCGGTGGATATGGGGTTGACATGCGCAAAGCGGAGTGCACGGTCTCCTGTGTAAGTCCTCCCATCCTCGAAGTTCTATTTGAGGGTTACGGTCGAGGGAAATCGGGGCTTGAGTTGCGTAAGGTTTGGGATTTTTTGGTTCACGAAGGCACCTTGCGGGGGCGTAGGGTGCAAATCATGTAGCGCAAGCGTGTGCGTCCCAATGCTGTCCTGCTCTAACTGCCCGCATGCTGTGGCCTGCAAGCTTAGTCATCTTTAAATCATCGTACCACCTTTATTTTTGACACCGAACAATTATGTCCCAGAGCCAGAACTACCCGGCGTGAAGCCTAACCCTTAGCCTTGAAGCCAACTCCCACATGTCAGACCCGCAGCCGTAGATCCAGTATTCCCAATACCCTCAACCTTATCCCGCTTTCCCCAAACCCAAACTTATTTTCTCCTCTAGCCATTTGGGAGTTTCTGAAAATTAGGGGCACCTTATTTAGGGGTCCTTATAATAAGGATCCTATTATTTAGGGTATTATATTAGGGTCCCCTATTTTCAGAAACCCCCATTTCCGTAGTCCGTAGACCAGTAACCTGACCCCCTGGTTTCATTTTCGGATTTCCTTGCTCTGTAAGCTGAAGGAATCCAGGTCTCTAAAGGACTTGAACTTGGCTTTGTAAGGTCTCTCCTAAGGTTTCTGTAAGGCTTCTCTCTATGAGGTTTCGATAGGGGTTATTTGAGGATTTTTTGCGGGAGACGCCTGTGCAGACGACACATAGAAATCCTGAAATAAACTATAAACCCCTAAACCCAAACCCTCAACCCCATCAGCTGTAAACCTCAAATCCTGCAAGCCCTGAGCCCTTTTGTAAACTTGAAAACCCTGCACCCCCTAGCCCTAAGCCTTGCTGAAAAGGCCGAGAATGCTGCCTTGAAGCCTAAGAGCTTAAGCTTCGAGGCCCGGGGAATCAGGTTCCGGGCTTGTAAAGGCTTTTTCATGGTGCTCTGAACAAAGTCTTAGGTCTTTTTCAGGGCTTGTATGCGTATTGCGGTTTTTTGTCTTCGCTTATGGAGGTTTGTTCGCTGCCTTTTTTGATTGGGTCGTAAGGCGTTGAAAGACTTGTTTTTTAATGTTTCTTGAGTAAGGGCTCTGCACGTTTTCCTAAAAGTCTTCAGGTTTTTACATGTTGTATGTTTATCAAGAGGTTTCAGTGCTTTGAACGCCTTCATATGTTTATATATGTAGATGTGTATGTATATATATATATATATGTTGTGAGTAGGTGTCAAGGCTCTGAGCGGGTATCTATACATATATGTATATATATATACATATGTAGAAAAATCTGTATGGTTTGAGAGCCTGGCTTTCAGTAGGTCTTCTGAATTTGAAGCTGACATGTTTTGTTTATCGGGCCTTACAGCGAGACTTTGAAAATGCATTTCTATGGTTGTTTGGATTGGTCTTAAGGGCGTTTGACTTCTATGCATTTTTGATATAGGTCTCACGGCGTTCTCTTGGACTTTTCAAGTGTTTTCGGTGGTTTTACATGGGTCTCAAGGCTAACAGCATGTCTATGGGTTTTCCTAAACAAGTCTTCAAAAGTTCCTATGAGGGTCCTATGACGGTTTGGGGGTTTTTGGAGCTTGCAGTTAAAGGGTTCAAGGTTGAGGATTTGGAGTCAGCGTCTCGGCCGTTCGGTTTAAGGGCTTTGATCTTAGAGGCGTTTGGAGCATGTTTCGGGCTCCTCGACGGTTTTTTCGAGTCTAAGGATTTAGTATCAGTGCTAACTCGGATACGGCTCAGAACGAGAGACTCCGCTGTTTAATTTAAAGGTCCCCATCCCAGACTTCGAAGCCGAAGAAGTCCATGTCATGTAGAAGTGTAGAACTGTTACTGCTTCGAGACCTTTTGTAGAACCTTCATAAAACAGCCTTGAGAAACCCGGAAACCTACAGTAAAGCTCTAAAGATCCTTCTTGTTCAGCTCTGACAGGATGCTGCCGCCTTGCCGTCGAGCGCGCTGACGGCGATGCTCCTGTGTGAGAGGCACATCTTCAAACATTCTCCCGGGTGAACTGTGAGCTCCATAGTCGGGAGTTGCAGAACTGAAATGGTCAACACAGATCCTGGTTTTTGGGGCCTCCAGTCTGTTTAACAACAGGGTACCTTACTATGTTGAACTCTTATAAGCCTGACTCCCTAGACCCTGCGCGGTTCTGGGTTCGGCAGCTCCGATCCAGGATGTTTACTTTTTTCTGTCTGCAGCAACTTACAACCGGAGCAACTTGGAATATTGTTCCTGAGGGTTCGTGATGATGATGTTTATTATTACTACTACTGTCTTGATTATGTTTATTTAAGCTGTAAGTCATGTTTTCGAAACATAGCGATGATGATGTTGATGATGATTGTCGACATTAAGTAAATAGTGGTTGTGCACCCCAGAACGCCATTCTCAAAAGCAAGGCCCCTGCATTACCCACCTCTTTTGTTCTCTCTGGCGGAGGTACGTCCGCAAGGGCGACCGTGTGCTGGTGCTCGGTGGAGGGGGCGGCGTCGGCTGCCACGTACTGCAGCTCCTGTGGCTGGGACCTCGAGACCTGTGGACGCCCGAAGGTCTTAAAGCCATAACCCTCGCGGCCCTCAACCATAAACCCGGGTCCGAAACCCAAGCGGCTCATCTCGGATGTGCCAGGATTCAACTAAGCGACTTTATCGGGTGTGGCCAGTGAGACTTCGGAAGGCTTCATTACTTTGAATTCGCGTTCGGGGGTTTTCAGTTGGGTTTACGTATTCGGGTTCAGGTTTTGGCATCACAGGACTAGATTTGGGCAGTTGCCATTTTCAGCCTGAAGACTCCCAGAGGGGCGACAGGTTTTCGAGCGCACAGCGCCAATCCGAACAAGAGCTATGCCAACAAGACACCAACGTTGATGTTGCGTACACTAAGCCTAAACGTAAACACCCTTAATCCGGAGGGCAGCCTCCTTTCGTGCTAGTTCTTATCCTGACCGACGGATGCAGAGGAAAGCGCATGGAGCAAGCTACGTGGCTGCCACTTGTACAGACAAGGAGCTTGGGCTAGTATAGGGTGGGAATAACTAGCAATCGCATCGCCTGATAATGAATATGTGATACTGTCACCGGCTTAGGAAACGACCCCAGATCCCGAGGTTTCAGGACCCTAAACCGTCCGTAGAGAGCTTCAGGAGGAGTTTCGATGGAGGTTTGCGTTGGGCCTCCGGCCACCCAAGTTCTGTTGCATAATCGAGGGCTGTTCAGGATCTCAATCAAAACCCTGGTAGTGTACAATCCCTCATATGGCTGTCACGCCCGGGCCAGCTTCATGACATCCCATCCCATGTCTAGTCATCAATTCCGTTGAAGGCTCTCCGCCGATCAGTGTGAGTTTTTCAAGCTCGGGCCTTGCAATGTTAAAGCTGTAGAGCTTCATGGCCCATCGGATTCAGGGATTCAGCTTAGCGCCTAGAGTTCACAGACCTTGCAGCCTTTGCTACTCATACTCCCTCGATCCTTACAAGCGCTAAAACGACACCCCTAAACCCCAAGCTCCTGAACCCTAAACCCTAAACCCTAAACCCTAAACCTAAAACCTAAAACGAAGCCCCTATAAACCTCCGAAGAGGCTGCCAAGGGAAGCTGAGGGTCCATCACAAACGGCACGGTCGAAGGGGCTAAGGCCTTTTCAGCAACACGCAGAATGTATCACAGTACGTCTGTGTCGCAAGCTGGCTTCTGCTGTGAAGGGCGTCTATACTGCCACACAGTTCCTATAAGCCATGCCATGCTTGAGTCTTCGAGCCATTGGCTCGGCATGAGAGGTTGAGCGCCTGTTTCAGCAAAACCCTAAGCCCTTGAAGCCTAAACCCGGCGAGTCCAAGACAGGACCTGCTCCGCTCCCTGGGTGTTGACCGGGCCGTTGATCGGACAGAGGACGAAATTAGGGTTTTTGGGGGTTATACGGTTTTTGGGGTTATAGGGTTTTTGGGGTTATAGGGGTTTAGGGTTTTAGGGTTATAGGGTTTTAGGGTTTAGGGTTATAGGGTTTTAGGGTTTAGGGTTTTTGGGGTTTAGGTTATAGGTGTTTGGGGTTCTAAGGTTATAGGGGTTTAGGGTTTTAGGGCTATAGGGTTCTAGGGTTTAGGGTTTTAGGGTTTAGGGTTTTAGGTTTCTGGGGTTATAGGGTTTGGGGGGTTTAGGTGGGCTTTAGGGTTTTAGGGTTATAGGGTTTTTGGGGTTTAGGGTTTTGGGTTATAGGGTTTTAGGGTTTAGGGTTTTAGGGTTTAGGGTTATAGGGCTTTAGGGTTTTAGGGTTTAGGGTTATAGGGTTGAGGGTTTCGGGTTATAGGGTTTTAGGGTTTAGGGTTTGGAGTTTATAGGGGAGTTTAAATACCAGGTTCCCCAGTACTAGTAGAGCTCTTGTGCATGAAAAACTCCAACTTTCACGAACAAGGGTATGCTTATTATTAAGGGGGCACCGGGAACCTAGACTAGCTGAGGCTGAGCTAGCATCGGGGAATTCTGGCTTGCTTGGAGGATCATGGGACTTAGTAAGTAGGGTTACAATTAGGTAACTATGCTTATAACCCCAATTAAGGGACTCCTTACTTACTAAGTCCCGTGATCCTCCAAGTGATCTTGAGCGAGCTAGGAACCAGTGTTGAGGCTTCTCTCTGACGCGGCTTTATTGGGAAGTGTTGCGTTTTGGGGGTTGTAGGTCTAGCATTCAGTCGAACCGGAACCTATGTCGAACATTATATACCTGAGGAGCCCCAAAAATATCTTAGGGTTCCTTAATGTCATGTTTCTATGGTCTACACCCAAAGCCCTGCTCTAATTTGTGGTTACCCCGCCGTGCCCGAGCCTTAGGAGAACTGGTGGGAGATTGCGGAGTTCAAAGAAGCTCCCTTCGACCTTGTAGCTCCTTTGGCTGCAGGTGCTGCTTCTTTTGCTTACTACAGTTTTAATTTAGTGTTCCACAAGCCGAGGTCTCGGGCTTTAGGTTTTTAGAGCTTTCTGGGTTTAGGGGGATGTTCGTGTTCGGGCTTGGTGTCAAGGATAAGAGCATGTGAGCAGCCGAAGGAAACACTATAGTCCCTCCTGTCCCTTCTTCATGTCCATGCCCTTTATCCTCAAGCCCTGAAGGCCCTGAGGCACCACTAAATACCGAGGTAGATCTCTACGGCACCCACGAGCCGTGGAAGCATGCCAGCAGCTCTGGCACTGTCAGCTTCGCTGCAGTCAGAGGGTTAGGGAACCTTCATGATGGTATTTTTTACGAGTTATAAGTGATGCGAGTTTCGATTCTCGTGACTGATGTCCACCGTTTCGAGACCTACTCTTCATCATCTTCACCTCTTGTGCTTTCATCTCATCACATTGTCGAGAAGGTCGAGAGGTGCACTTGCGGTTCTTGCGGGTCCAATGGTAGCTCCAGATGGCAAGCGACAATGCCTACAGAAGTGGCTCGTTCTTTCACGTCTCCCGGCCCGAAGGCAGCGCCCGTGTTCCTGATGTGCCGATTAGTTCCTACATGTCTTCTGGCCCGAAAGCAAGTCGTCAATGGCTCAGATCTTGAATCCCATGCTCTGAAGAACCCTGGCCTCCGTAGCCTTCAGAGCTCAACCCCGATAGCAGGAACTCGAAACGTTTAGGGTTCAGTCACAGCCTACGATTGGAGACTCGTGTAATGACAGCGGATTCAGCCTGGACTTCCTTGGGAAAGTGTTGAGTTTAGCAGGAGTATGGTGAGAAGGGTGCAACACTTGATAGGGTCTACAGCCTGCACAAGAACGCCTTGCAGATAGTGTTTAGGGTTTAGGGTTTAGCAAAGCAACCACAAGGTCGGTCCTGAAACCACGACAGACTGAGCGAGGTGAAGTCCGGACGCCTTGGTGGCCGCTACGTGACGACCGTTGGTGACACGCCGCCGCCTGTCTTCTCCTTCATCGCTACCCAGAGACTCCAATATCCCTTAATTAGGGAATATACCCTTAAAATTATAGTAGGATCCCTAATATGATTTAAGGTCTATTCCAGAACCTCAACTCTGGGATGAGGGGTGTTTCTGCAGTTTCTGGCGGGCTTCGCGGGTACAACTCGGAAGCTTATGCGGTTCACAGCGCAAGGACCTGGCGTGAGGCTTGAGAACCGGGAACGCTTGAGCTCTGTCCCATTATCTGCTCAAAGATGTCCTCAAAGTGCGGATCCATTCGGTTCTTAGCTCATCGTTTCACTAGATGGAAAGGTGAGCCAAGAGAGAGAAAACAAAGAGCTCACTTCATACTTTCATTTCTTGGATGTGTCTTTGTTTTCATTAAACTAAGCATGAACGAAAAGGTGAAACTCATGATGAAGTAAATGCGAAGGGCCTTGCTGTGGGACTTAGCACGACTACTGCTGCCACTGAGAGACGGCAGCGTCTATCCAAACTATCTTGTTAAGGCTTCAGGCCTGAAAGAGACTTGCGCGCTGAGGAATGGAACTAGAACGGCTTTGAGGCTTCTGCGGGGCTGAGGTTTAGGCCTGAGTTTGTGCACAGTGTCCTTGCATAGGGCTTTGTGTTTAGAAGTTCAAACTTGTAGCAGTTAGTAGCGCCAGCACGAGGTATATGGTCTTTCGCCATTGGTGGCACATCTTCAAGCTCATGCAACTTGTGGCAGCATCTATTTCTGGGGCTGTCAGCCGAGATATAACAACAACACTGATCGCATATGTCACAGAACAGCCCGAAGCGGCGATTCGAAAGAGTAGCGGTCACCAGCGGTTCAAATCCTGAACCCCGGGCTGAACCCAAACCTGAACCCTCAACTCAACCCCCTACAAGTTTAGACGCCTCACAATTACCAACTTGCATACCTTTCGCGTAAAGCCTCGTTTGCACTCATCTGTGCCCAACCCAACCCAACCCACGTGCTAGGAACTGCAGCACATGGGTAGAGGCGGACGCGTGCACCTTGAGGGCACTGCACATCATCTCCCACACCTTTTTGCCCCCCAAACCCTACAGGCTCCAAGCCCCAAGGAATACCAAACCAACAGAATCAACAAACTGAACAAACTGGAGCCCTGAGAAGGATGTTGTCAATAGATGGACCATGGAGCAATAGTCAAAAAGTTGAGGTACATATCTGTTCCATAAAACTCATGCAGAACGCCAAAGCTGAGAGCGGCCTCCTTCCGCCCCTTCTAAACGCATCCCAATCAGACCTGAAAATCTAGATTTCCCTAAGCCCCTTTGCCAAATTATGAGACCCTAGGAAGTCCCCGAGGTACGACATGACGGCTCGAGGAATCTGGACGCGCCTCTCCCGTGGAAACCCCCGGTGGATTTACCATCTCGGCCTAGCGGCTCGGACAGGAGGAAGCTTCAAAGGCTTCCTTGAAGGGGTCTAAAGTACCAAAATAGTTATAAAGAATGGTCATGAGATATTATCACAAGTTAAAACACGACAAACAAATAAATATAAAAATGGTCATAATATATTATGGTGAACCAACAAGTTCTAAGGAGGAAGGCTTGGGGTCTATAGGGTCTGGGGTTAATCTGGGGGCCTGTATCAAACACACAAGCAGGGTGCTTTGAAGAGTTCTACAAGGGCTACTATATTGGCTAGTATTATGTAGGTTATAGGGCCTTAAGCATTAGAACATGGTTTTCGAGCAGTGTTATTAACTAGGGGACTTTCAAGGGATCTTATTATCTGGACTTGTTCAGATCTCGATGTATTGTCCATTAGGTCCTTGAGTTTGGGATCGTGGCATCTTCCGGCAAGGATTTAGGACCTAAACCCTAAACCCTAAACCCTAAACGAGAGTATCTGACAACCAATCCTCGAAGTGTTTGGATCCGTGGGGTTCAGGGGTCAGGGCTTCGTTTGAGGGGGTCGGGATTTATGGTCTACGGCCGAGTAGGGCTTCAGGATTTCAGGATAAAGGTTGAGGGATCAGCAGTTAAGAGCCGAAAATAACAAGACGATAATCAGTATGGCCAGAGCGGTCTGAGTTGAGGTAGAAGTCTTTGTTTTTCGACACTTTGACACGTGGGTGGGACGCGATAGAAATCCATTTGTGATTTTCACCTGCAGGAAGGAAGCATTGCAGGCCTTGTAGAGGTTGTCGAAATTGCGGATCTTGCAGTATTGAAAGTTGTTTGTTTCATGGGTAAGGGTTAGACTTTGAGGGCATGGTAGTTTGAGGGGTTGGGTGTGATTCCACGGTTTAGGATGTAACGTAGGATTTAGGGTCGAGGGTGGTTTAGGGTTTAGGGTTTAGGCCTTCGTTCTAAGGAGGACAGATGACTGCGCGACTTCCAAGCCGTCAACGGATGTCGAGAAGGCTTTCAGCTATCCTACGAGATAGGATTCCGCATTGAACGAAGCGCCCTAATGTGGAATCACATTGAGCCCAGACCTTGACCGGCCTCCCAAAATTGAAAACCACTTGTCACGCAGAGTGCATGGCCTCGCATGAAACCATCTGCAGCCTCTGCCACGGATGGCTCACGAGCGGCATGACGTCACCTTAAAGCAGGGTTTCCGGACCCCCTACATCGAACTGCGGTCCAAGCAGCACAGAGGAGACGTGCTCCGGTTGATCGGCGGACGCTCGCTGGGTGAACTTGACCCTCGCATGGTCTTGTGCCGATCGGCACGGGTGCAAGGCCGTGTGGCCTGGACGGGAGCCCACCCTAAAGGGGTGAAAAGGCTCCCCTGGACAGGCACTTTCATCGATTTCTGAGGAATCAATAAAAGAGAGCCGCAATTTTGTGCGTCGTCGTCGTCGTGATCGTCGTCGTCGTCGTCGTCGTCGTCGTAGTAGTAGTAGTAGTAGTCGTAGTAGTCGTGGTGGCGGTGATGGTGGTGGTGCTGGTGGTAGTACTGACATCCGTGTAACCTTATAGGCCAAAACCTTGGAACCCTACACTCTGAATCCAAAGAAGCCATTATGCTTATGCTCCAAGCTCCCAAACCCGTCACCTCAAACCACATATTCTAAACCTTATTTACCCTAAGCCCCAAGCCTTGCACCTTGCGCCGTCATGCCCAAAGTCCTAACCTTTAAGTCCCATCCACCAAACCCTAAACCGTAAAGCCCAAACCTTAAACCCCTAAACCCTACACTCCTAAACCCCTAAACCCTTAAACCCCAAACCCTAAACTCAAACCCAGAACTCCTGTGCTCCCTCGACCCTCTGTCCTCAGCTCCGGCTAACTCCAGCGGCCCACATACACTTACGCTTACCTGAACTCCCAACATCGTTGGGGGCTTCGGGTTTAGGGGTTTCGGGATGATCTAGGGGCTTTGGGCTTAGGACTGTTTAGGACTAGGGGTTGAAAGATCGGAGCGAGTCTCAAATTCCAAGAAATGTAATTACTCAATCTCAAGCACATGCAGGAATCTTTTAGACACTTAGCACCATCCAGAATCAGAAGCTTCGTGTTTCTCAGGGTGTAGGCTTTAGGGTTTGCTGGCCTCAACAAGCATCGGAAGCTGAAAACAAAGATGCCGAGGAGCCGACAGACTTGCCGCGGCTCCTTCAGCGAGTCGAGGCAGGCGAGCTCCGGGCAGTGCCTGGGACCTTTTGGGTGTACGGCTTAAGGAGTAGGGCCTGAGTGGGGTTTAGGCCTTACAATAGGGCAAAGTATATCCGAGAGACGCAAACACTTGTGCGTATACATGTTCGTGAACTTCTTCATAGGTATGGCCTACGTGTATTACCTGCTTCTCCACGTCTAACTATGTCTTCTTTCTACTACTATGTGTTTAACTACAGTACTTCGATGTATATACATGTGAAGAGAGAGAGAGAGAGGAAAAAAGATATATATATATATATACATACCCTAAACCCAGGGCTCAGAAGACCGCACAAGGGCGGATAGCTGGAGCCCCAGTACCCAATGCGGGGTACGTCATGAGCCACACCATGCCGGAAGTCAGATGAACAAGTGCATGCCAGAGGTCGTGAAGACCATGCTGGCATGCATCCCATGCTCTCCCATCCAGGCCTACTCCAGCGCAAGCAACGGGAGGCACAAAGTGGTAAGGACATCACTGCTTTGCAAGGTGGACATGTTGAGCACTGGCGTGGAGGACACGCTTCCACACTACGCGGTACAGGAGTTTGCGGCTGGCTTCAAGAAGACGCTGGCTTTCCAGACATGCGCAAACAAG